CACTGACCTGTGCATTTACCTGTTATTTCCTCTTATTTACTATGTTTGAGTAAAAGACGCAGAGATCAATAAAACTGTTTAAAAATGAATTTATTTGTGCAATTTATTTCTTTTTTGGATTTTAATCATGTAGTTCACTCCGTGTCCATGTAACTTTATTAATGTTAAATGTCTGTTTAATGTTTGTAATTCACAGTTTGAAACTTATCTTATTATTTCTTGTTTGTTTGTCTTATTGTTTGTGTTTTCTTTTGAAAGGTGCCGCTGCCGGTAAAATGCCGCGCCGTCGCTGTGTTTTATTGTGAAGGCGGAGCGGAAATACCCCTGTGTGTGGTTTTCGGGGTGCTCGGTGTGTCGGTGTTGCGGCTCCGGTAACTTGTGCTCAGCGGCTTAACGGCGGAGCTCCGGGAGGCCGTTCATGGAGGAAACGTGAAGTTTGACCGGAGGAGGAGAACTTTTCCCGCGGTAAGACTGACCTACCGACCCGACCGGACTCACGGTTACCGTTAACTTCATCTGGTTAATGTTAACGTGAGCTGGTTACCGGGGAGACTCTCCGTTAGAAGCGGGAGTTTAAAGGGGTGAAAAAAAAAAAGTTTTTCGGTGTTTTATTGATTTATTTGTACTTTTTTTTGGCTCTTTGGCTTTTGTTCCCGCGGCTCGCGACTCTGTTCCCATGGTGAAGCTTCTTCAGCTCGCGAGAGTCTCCGGACAGAGCCGAGGGGGTTTCCGGAAACGTTCGTGTTTACATTGACCGTAGCTGACGTTAAACTCCTGCTCGGGTATCTCACACCTGTGTTTCAAAACAACTTCATTGTCCACTGTTGTAGCACAAAACACAACAGCAGCTGCACTGATCAGGGTATTGATAACTAATCGAATACAATAATATCAAATACGAGCTGAATTTAACTTTGGAGGATCACCACGGAGCTTATGATCTATGATAACACACTGTCAGACAAAGGTGGAACTGCCAGGCAGGAGGAGGTGCTCAGAGGAGGTGCTCAGAGGAGGTGGAGAAGGAGATCCTCAGCCGTTTTAATGACATCATCTGACCAATGACATGGCTGCTGTGAGGTTACCGTACTAATGGGGCCTCCAAGAAGAACGGGCTCCAGGTTGGGTCTGCAGTGAAATTCTAGGATGTTGATTGGATGTTAGTGAGAACTGATCAGCAGGTGTCTGTGGATGCAGACTGATAACAGCGCCAAGCCAGGTGATCACACACAGGCCACAAAGTTAAATGTCCACTTCAGCATGTCCACAAAGGGATGGGTCCATTTTTTATATACAGTGTGTGTAATTAATTTACCTTTTCTGTGACAAAATGACTGAAGTAACCAAAACATAAAAAGATCAGAACACGTGGACGATCGATCGATCGATGAGTGCTTTAGCTCTCGTCTGTTTTTAATGGAGACAGACGTCTCACGTATCAATAAGTCTGGTGTTTCCAGGCTGAAGCAGTGTGCTGAGAATGATGATGGTGAAACAGCCAGCGCACAGATAAGAGGAGCACTGATGATGTAACAGAGGCATGGGGGAGGGGCCCAGGCGTGTTTCAGGGTCATACATGTGGAATGAACAGCACGCAGCACCCAGGACCTCCTGAAACATTTCAGGCACGGAGGGTTCTTAAAATCACATCTGTACTGATGAGAGTCACCTCAAAAAGGACCCTGGGATCATCCTGCCATGTTGTCTTCCTGTGAAAACAGTGCACTCTGGGTAAAAACAGCAGTAATACTTTAAAGGGTCGTTCAACAAGCTCTCAAATGGAAGCAGAGAGTCTGAAGGGTAGCCTTCGTTGTTGCCTTCGTTGTTACCTTCTTTGTTACCTTCTTTGTTGT